GAACAGAACAGAACCGAACCGAACCGAACCGATCCGAACCCGAATGGTTCCAAAATTATATTTGGAACCGACGGTTCCATTTACTAAAAAACCAAAAATTTCTGGAACCGAAAAAAAAACGAACCAAATCGAACCGCGCCCACCCCTAGTTCGGACTAGGTCATTGCCCATATATAAATCTGGTGTGATATTTCGGATAAGGCTTGAATCTTTAAGTAGCAACCTATGACAAAACATTGAAGGAAATTCGTATGACATTCCGACTTGACATAGGAAGCCTGAAAAAGCTGAGACTGTGGATAGTAGTAGTATTTGCATTGGCATGAATGTGTCTTTCCATTATAATCACCCTATCAATTATTCTCAAATTGCTGAATCAATACGAAGTTGGAAAAAAATAAAAAAATATACTAGCATAACCTAAATGAATAAGATAATCTGACTAATAAAACAAATGATTCCTTGCTACATTACAAAATAAATTCTGCCATTGTCATCAAGGCAATTAGTGCAATTAATATGCACGCCATTTCCCATATATTCCATTAAAATCAACTTGCCCTATTACATTCCCTTGAAGTAATGTTATGGATCTTTACCTTGTCAGTTGATGGGGTAAAAACAACTTTGACTTCCTCAAAAACTTCTTCAACGGGTTTTGCAGCGTCAATCTAAAATCAAAAGCAACATCAGTCTCCATCTCAGCCCTTTTTTGGCCTAGAAGAATTCCCGGTAGGGTGGGGATTGGAAGGAAGAAGGTAGAGTAAATAAAATGCAACAGACATATACATGTCACATGAAACACTGGAAAAATGGAACAGAAATTCTAGGTTCAGAATAACCTGGTTCCTGTTCAACAGGCGTTTCTCCATTTCTTCTTCTGAACAATCAAAGAAAAGCACAAATTCTGGCTCAGTCCCAGCGTGCAAAAATTAAGAGAGTAGATAAACCCTGCAATTGGTGCACAATACATAGGTGTATTAAAAATGCCATTCTCTAGAATCCTCAAAGCAATTAATACTGTGTAACCCTTCCAAAATATTTGAAAAAGAAACCATACTTCAATTAAACGCATAAATTAATAAAACGATGATTTGAACAAAAACTGAGGGTGGAAAAAGTGGTAAAATAGAAAGACTTACAACAGACTCAAAGTTAGCACGATTCTCCTCATTACGAGGGAAGCCATCAATAAGAAATTTGTCGTTGCCATTTTCCTGCATTGCTCGTTGGAGTAGCTTAATTGTCACCTCTGATGGTACAATTTTTCCCTCCTTAATCATGTTCTGAATCATTGTCCTATATATCAAAGGTCAATAATGAAGAAGAATGATAAAATATTTGAAAAAGAGAATCTTGACACATTCTATGAAACCTTGACATTTGAAAATAATACCGAGTAAATCATTAATGTTTATGTTCTACAGAGACTTTACTTGAAATCAAAGTCAACACAGGGGGATGGCCATGGATATGCTATTTATTACACGCACATAAGAATCAACCTCAATTGACCAAGCCAATTACTCAGATCCACAACACAAGAGAATGAGATCGCCAAACACTTATTTTGAACAAAGACTATCAAGAGAATCGATCAAGGAAGAAGCAAAAATTAGTTGTTAGGTTTTTATTTCTGAAGAGCTAGAGCATGTCAATAGAAAAGAATTGTAGTACAATGAGGACATACCCATTTTCAGAACCAGATTTTATTTCTGCACGGAGAAGATCGCCAGCACTGAGATGGGTGTATCCAAAGTGTTGGACAATATCAGCGCACTGAGTTCCCTTGCCACTGCCAGGGCCACCTGATATCAGAATTGTTTGAAATTAATCTAAACAAACTATGAAGGGAACAGCAAGTAAGACAACGTCTCAAACAAATGCAACTTAACGCAATTTTCCTTAAGCAATACTGCTTTATTATTATTATCATTATCGAGAAGAACAACAAAGAATTTCAATAACTTGATTGATATCCAGGGAGACACGTGAACGACAGAGATATATATTCAGATACCACAATTTGAAAATGGAGCACTCATCTAGGACAAAAACAATTGTAACTTTCTTGTTAGTTGGTAAGCTTCCATTTGCTTCCTGCAGTGTCACTATATCAATTAATACATAAGAAAACAAGTTTCTGTAAATCTGCACATGCATATCTATTGTGCACGACTATAAGAATCATTGCTCATCTTAATTGATCCTAGCTGGTGAAAAAAGTGTCCAAATGAATTTAGCAGGGAAGATCAATTCATAGTGCTAAACTATCGACTAAACAGATGTTAAGAATAAGTGATGTGCAAGACTAACAATATTGAATTGGCAATCATTAGATCTTCTGGCTCAAAAGAGAGTGCACGCTTCATTTTAATTGACTCAATCAATTGATAATCCAGTTAAATTTGAATTATACTGAGTATCAGATTTCAAAAAAAAAAAAAAAAATTATAATTTCAAATACTACTAGGCCGAATCTTACTAGAAGTCTTTAGGATCAAAATCAAGTGCCAAAAAATTCAAGAAATCTTTAACTACATTCGTATTATAAATAAGACCGGTGTATTGGCCCACATCGTATATGCCTCTAGCAAAATAAAAGAAATACCTTGTTTGCAGCATCAATGACAGTTCCCATGAGTATGGATTAAGTTGTGTTCTAATTATCTGCATGCAGCCCATGAATAATATGGCAGTCAAAACATTTCATACTCAAATTTTACGTACAAATTCATAAAATAAACTCCTCTAGCATCTGAAATTTAAAGTGATAAAAATCTTCCATAAAATGCATAAAATTGAACAAAGCTTGAGCTTTGACCAACCAAGGAAAAATTCAAAAGGAAACACAATGCTACTAAACTATCTTTTGCAATAGAGATATGGCACTTCTCAATTCTCATATTTGTTGGACTTGATAGATCAGTGGATATATCAAATATGCTTAAAATTCTATAAAAGACAACATTTAAAATAGAGTTCCATCACTTTCTGAAATTTTTCATCTTTTTATAATGAACGGTTTAAAATTCTGCAAATATATTTTTTGAAGCGACCAGAACAAATAGAACTTTAAAAAGAAACATAAATGTTATATATGAACTAAAATCATTCACATTACTGTAGAAATGCATAATTAGAATTGAATGGACAATCAGTTCTTTCAGGAAAGGCAGGCTTAAAATTCAGATATATCGTCCATGTATCAACCAGATATGAGACTGATAGGTTCCTAAACACAGCAAGGCTCCACAACAGAATTAAGTAATATTAAACTGTAAAACTCAATAGAAAGGTATGAAAATTGGAATTATATTACTGAACGTGAATGTATTTAAACTGAGAATTCTGTGCTACAATGAAAAAAAGAAAATGACAGTTTATTTCCACTATTTATTCTGTTACCTCCCCAACTGACTCAGCAACTGCATGTGACCGCTCCCCACTCAATTCCTAAACTGCCCTTACTCCCTTCCTGCGCCTTTGATAAGTCACGTTAATTTGGGGCCTATCAGAAACATTTTTCAAAAAAAAAAAATCAAATGATAAATTCAATCTGTAAAAAAACAGTAACGCACTTCAACGAGTATTTTGAATTTCTTACTAGATATGGAGTCTTTCAGCAAACAAAACCATAGAATCCAATAAAAAGATAATACGCCAAAATGGATATCACAATTTAGCATAGAGAAATGCTACACTTATAGCCTTTTTACACATGAATAAATCCTCATGTACAGAGGATTTGTTCACAGAGGCCTTACAGGCCCCTCACGAGGGGTCGGGCCCCACATGTATTTAAAAAGAAAATTGTGCGGACCTCACCATGTGTGTTGTCCGTACAATATCTGTAAAAAAAATTATGTACACCAAGGAGAGGTTCTTTACATATACATTTTGACAGTCCTCTCACATGGGGGTGGGACCCACAATTGCAAGCCCCACACCCGTGTGAGAAGGCTGTTTACTGTGTAAAAAGGTTGTACATTTAGCATTTTTCTTTAGGATATGAGCATTTTCTAATCTCATTATTAACAAAGAAGCCAATTTTCCCTGATGTGTTAGCATTGATTCGATGTCAGGTCACAACAAATACGAAAATCTTCTAAGAAATGATCAAAATATCCGATCTCTCAACGGGATTAGCTTTAAATTCAGCAAACCAGCATTTTCCAGAAAACTAACGCGATGCACAGTTAAGTAACAGAGTTATCATAAGCTCTGATCTGACAACTATATTAATTAGTAAAACTAAAAACTATCAGATCACAACAGAAAATTCTTAAAACGCGTTGGTGAAATAAAGGAAAAATTCAGACAACGAGCATTTCCATACCAAGACAAAAAAATATGTATATATATCTTAGAACTGACCTTCTCTCCATGATCTAACATTCTATTTAGCAATCAATCACTCACTTCGTTTTCAACTGAAGTGGCAAAACATGAAAAATTGTTGAGTCTACTTTTTTTTCGTCGCATTCTTATCTTCAACATTTCATTAATTAGTACATCTCATCGTTGATGATAATTGATATCAAAATATTTTGTTTTCATGCTTTGAAATGACTGAAAAATATATATATTTTTTTTTTTTTTGCACTTTTGATTTTTTTTTTTTTTAAATATGATAAAAATAAATTGGTTGACACTATTCAACAAGCTTTTGGACATAAAACTGCTATCAAATACAAAATATGTTAACTAAAAACAAGTTTGAGGATATGAATGATGTGAAAAGTCGTTAGGGATATAAGTGTTATAATAAATAAAGATTCAGAACATTAAGTTCAAGTAAAATATAATACAAAAAATAAAAATTATGATTAAAACTCAAACTTATATCCTTAAACCTTTTTTTTTAAGTCACATTCTTTTTTTAAACATTTCATTAATTAAAAAACTTATATTTAATCATGATTTTTGTTCAAAGATATTATTAAAGTGTTTTGAAATAATATTTAATCATATTTTTACAATATTATTTATTTTGTCAAAAATACAATAGGCAAATATGAATTTTTTACTGTGTCTTGCATCAAATTATAAAAAAAAAAAATGCATCTTCTTCCGGTCTATTTCCACTACAACCAGCGACTGATCTATGGGAATTTCTCTCCCCTAGTTTTCCGACGCAACAAGGGGGTGGGTTTACACCAAATCGGATATTCGTATTTCTCAGACGGAGGTTTTCCTCCTCAATAAAGCTTCGGTATGTTTTTCAATTTCTGTGGTTTCGATTTGTTCTCTTATGCAATAAATATTGACAAATATAAAGTTCTGTTCTTGAAATTGGCATTGCAAGATAAAACTCAGATCGCCAAAGACTGCAAAGTACTATAAAATTAAGTGGCAATTCAAGTGATACTTATACCTGTTCAAGTAGAACATTTGCTGAAACATATGTCATTTTCCAATTTTTGAAATGAACTGGAAGGGATTAAAATTTTCAAAATTAAAAATCGAAATTAAGAAGTTATTTTCTTAATCACCCTCTTCAGCCAAGGTCCTTTATTGAAGACGTGCAATCATTTTGGCCATATTCTGTCTTAGAGATATTCAAGGTAACAAGTAGAATCCGATTCAAGGTGATGTATAGTTTAAAACATTTCTTGATAAGCTATGGTGGGTTTGCACATTGTAACAGGTAAAATCCGATTCAAGGCGATGTATAGTTTAAAACATTTCTTGATAAGCTATGGTGGGTTTGTACATTATCAAATTACTGTAATCCTAAAGTAACACCGTTAATTGCAGCCACGCCTTCATGTATACATAATTGCTTGCTAGGTGTTTGACATAGTGCCAGAACTAAAATTTTCACAGGAAAAATTGCCATGGACGAACCTTGTTCTGTTAATAGCCCTCGAAGGGTCTTGAGTTTCTCCAAGAATCGAAGGGCAAACGTGTCATTTCCTGATCCCGACAACAAGGCTTCTTCTTCGTCGGGCTTTGGAGTTTCTGGGGAGCATGGCCCAAAGCCCTCCGAAGTTTATGGATTTGTTGGATCCATTACCACTGTTGTTGCCACAGGTCCGTGGCACCTTTTTTTATTGATGTATAAAATGTTCTGATTGTCTATATAGATTGCATTGTGACTTTATCATATTGTCCTCGAACTTGGTACTTCTAGGTGAATTTGGATAAATTGGCATAAGCGACTAAATATGCATTTCAAGGAATTATACAGGGAGCTGAGGTATATTTGCTATAAAAAAAATAAAAATAAAGTTAAGAAATGATCAAATTGGATTTTGTAAGTGATGGCTGGTAATTTATAACTGATCAAATTCTTGGTTTATTTCTTGATTACATAATATGAATTGAACAAATTGCATGAGGCCTAAAGTGGATTCAAACAACTTAATTGTATGGTTTCTTGCGTGTGCACGAGATTGTGCCTTCCATGTAAAATGGGCTAATTTTGGTTCTTTTATTCTTGGTCAAATGGATTAAAGTTATATGCTTGTGTTGACAATTTGAATGTTACTGTTTGTTTATTGCTTTGGTTGTAAGAGGCAGGAAAAAAAATCAATGGCATCTAAAACTTCCTTTTTACTCTGAGCAGTCATTTTTATTATATGGGCATATTTTCCTGACCGTTGGTTGCATTCTATTGGGATCTATTACTATCCAAGCAGGTCAGTGAAATGGAATATATGCTTGCTTTTTATAATTACAGTTTCATTAAATTCCTGATGTGTATATCCATCTCCAATTAATATCCTGCTTTCATTTGTCATTATTTTGTCCCGGAATCCTCCAATATGCCTAATACAAATGCAGATTAGCGTACTTTCATGATATTTTAGTGGATTTGTTTTGCTAGTTTTTGCTGACTTTCAACTCAGTTGAGCTGAGTTGTTGATTGTTTCATAATGAATTGTATTTGGAAACATGGCCAAATGTTCAAAATTGAAAATGTCACCTTGTATCAGGCTATGAAAAATATTGGAGTTCAGTAACTAAACAATCCTTACTTTTACTGATTTCTCGAGAAATAAAAGAAAAAGAATTATGTTCCCAGAGTATGAATGTTGAAGTAGTGCAAATATTTGAATTGAGATAGCCAGCGTTATCAATCTCATCTCATAACATACCATACATCTTTTACCAGTAAGAAGACGGTGCAAGAGACTATCTGTACTGTAAATGGTCAAATGCCGGTCAATCTGGATTGGACAGCCTGGTGCTGTCCAATATTGCCTGTATTTGCGTCTTGGCTGGTACCGAACTACAACAGCTATTCAAATCCAAGAAAGTCATGAATTGAAGTGAACTTTCTTTGAAAATAATGATAACAAGCATACCTTTGAGGTGATCTAATTTGTTGTACACTTTCGCCTGGAATGCGGAGTGACCTAATATGTCTATTCATACATGTTTTAGGTGCCTTAATATTCCTACTATATGAAGGATTTATTGGAGATCTGTCTTTTTACTTTTTGAGATAAATATAGCCTCATATGTGCGTGTTCACTAATGTAATTCTCTTTCATAGTGAAAAATATGCAGTGGCAACAGGACTTAGCTGATAGCTCTCGTATTGAGGTTTAACCACTATAAATCTGTGTTTGCTTGATTGTATTTCTGATTTCGCATTGCTTAATATTGATCTCGTGATTAGGATTAGCTAATTAGGTCTAAATCCTCAACAGCTTATACAATACTTATAACATTGGACTCATCATTCTATTCTGTGAACGGCATATAGCTCAAAAACTTGTTTGTAAAATTTGTTATGGCGCCTTTCATCACTTGTGTCTAACCTTTTCAGGTACTGGGCACTGGCTGTGCCAACTTATGTAATGGTGACGGTAGTACTTGCAATTGGATTTTACATCGGCTTGAACTTTATGGCTACCCCTCCTCCAACCTCCTTGAGCACAATGTTTGGTATAATCTAACGTGCCTTTCTTTTTTGATAACCAATCTAATGTGCCTTTCTAGAAATGGTTTTACATCTATGATGGGTTTTTCCTGGCTTTCAATGAAATCTTTCAAAAAAACATGAAACGTGAAATTTCGAGGCAGAACAAGAAGCAATGTGCAATCATTTTTGCACTGCTTCTCGGCAAGTTATTATGTTATCAAACCCTATTCCTATGCTCTGCAGATGAATTCAGTAGAGAACAACTCAGTGGCATTCCCTCGACTGATGATGATGAGCAGCCCATTGAGCCCATATCTGACATTGGCATTGACGAAATTAATGGCATCATGTTTGATAATCCGAACATGAATCCAGCTTAAGGTATAGTTCATTTTAGTGAAATTGTCTTGTGGAGAGGAATCATTTCATGCGAATATTATTTTTCTCAAAACCTATATTACCGAAAAGAAATTTTGTTTGGGGTCCTTAGGGTCCTCATTTATCGGCATTTTTAATTGATGTGTTGTGTGTTCTGTTTACACAGGAATATGGTAGATGATCATGAAGATTTGAGTTCAGATTCCATACAAACCTATCAAAAGATCAAATCAAATATATTGCAGGCTGGTAGTGGTGCCGTAAAAATCAGCCAAGTGTATTCCCCGTAATAGCTTTGTTTCCTGTATGAACATAGCTTTAGGAGGGTGTTTTGATATTTGTCCATATTGCCCGTCAGCATTCTATCCCGCATTATTCTGCAACTGTAAAAAATGGTCCTCTAAAATACATTAGTTGCTTTACTCAATTTACAACCACAGTTTTTGCTAGGGGTATCCAAAAGTCCCGAACCGGATCGAACCGAACCCGAACCGAACCAAGCGGTTCTTCGTAAATTAAATACTTGAACGGGTACCGGAATCGAGAACTGATGAATTTGGGTCGGGTCTAGACCAAAAATCGAAGAATCGAATAAGAATCGAAACTAAATAATTTTTTAATTTTTTATATTGAATTAATTAAATTATTTTATTTTTTTCAAAACAAATTAGCAAATTAATTAAATAAATCAGATTATTTCATAATTTTAATTTTAAAGTCCAAATCACATTTANTTCATAATTTTAATTTTAAATCTCAAATCATTTTTAAAGCTTATTAGCCCATTTTAATTTGAAGCAAATAAATATACTTTATGTAGTGTTGCTGTAATATTAATATCTATTTTTTCATATTTGTATGCATTAAATTAATCTTATTGGACAATTAGTTATTTATATATTTTTGAATTGAGCTACATTAATTTGTAAAAGTTACGAATGAAATGTCATTAGTTATATTTATGTAGTGTTGTTATAAATATTAAAAAATTTAATTATAATACGGAACCGAACGGACTCGAACCTGAACGGTTCCATAATTATATTTGGACCCGACGATTCGATTTCTTAAATACCCGAAAGTTTTGGGTCGGTTGGGGTCTCTTCAGAACCGACCCGATCCGACCCACGGACAGCTCTAATTTTTGCAATATTTGGACTCTTAAACAGTGGCTAGTCCAGGAATCCAAGTGAGCTTAGACTGATCCAGGTGAATACGGATGGCCACTAGACCATCGTTTCCCGTGGAGCCAACAAGGCAGCCGTATGGGCTCGTCAGATGCTGGCTTTGTCCCTGCTCTTAAATATGTAGTTTTTTCCTGAGGACGTTTGGCTAAGCTTAAGAGGAAAGACAGAATTGAACTAAAAAAGCTCAAACATGCTTGGCAATAAAATTAAAAGTTTAGCTCAACATGGTGCCTTGGACCTATTTGAGCAAAGCCATGTGAGGGTCAAACGTACACTAAAATACACAACTTGGCAAATGGCAGAACCTGTGTAGGATCGTTCTTTTCTTTTTTCTGTTTAACATACGCTTCATAGTTGTTATTTTTCATATAAATCAAACAATAAGACGCCTTCAAAGTTAAGCAAAAGAATTTACGGACTTTGCTCGGTCAGAATAGAATAGACAACGAACGAAGTGAGAAATTGAAACAAAAGAATTGTAGCACCAGGCTGCAACTTAAGAAGGTTATGAACCAGAAACAGATATTAGCAAGTAAAATCACTGCATCAAGCACCAAATATTTTAACGAATTGAATAGTGCAACAAACGAAACTCAGTTGTCAAAGGACAATCAAAAAACGAAGTCAACTATATTATCATACAAAAGATACCCAATTCTCTACCATAAAACTTCATCGAGCCCATGACACTGAATCGATTTCATCCCTGGCTTTCTTGTATAGTTCAAGCCTTTTAGCACATTGCACCCTTCTCTCCATCAAGGCTGGATCTTCGTCCAACAAGTCAGCGAGTTGCTTACCCTGAAATAGAATCACAAACTATTTATCATTGCCGACTTCAAGTGAATGACATAGCTAATCCTAGTAACGACCCAAAATAACAAACATGATGTTATAATGGTTAACACAGTATCTAAAGAAATCTGCCACTAAAGGAATTAGTCAAAGGTGCCTCCATCAACAAATGGCAGAAGTTTCAAATTTAAATCCTTGAAATATACACGTACTAAATAAACCTAGCCCTGATCGTGTTTACGAGACATGATGAACTGCTGAAATTATTAGAGACTACACAAAATTATTTATTTAAATTACGTCTTCAACATGCCTCCTCACGTGCAAACTAGATACATGCACAATTTTCATAAAATGATGGTGGCGGGACTTAATATGAGTTTATTCTAATACCATGGTGAACTGCCCCATCGAAGTTATGTATTCGAATTATGTCTTCAACAAAACCTATAATCTGTGTTTGTTAATGAATACTTATGAACTTCACTTTAAATGATGAGAGAATTACCTCTTTCTTCCCAATTTGAGTGTAAAAGTAATTGAGTAAACACTGTTTGGCCTCCTTAACTTGACAGTAAACCACTGCCTTGGGAATTGAGTTTCTCAAAGTATCAGATATCATAATTATATAAGATGACACATTTGATGCAATCCTCCTGAAGTGTCCCTCAGAGATACGATCAATTGTATTGGCAGCTGCTGGATTTCCTGGGTTTCCCATTTTCTCAACTTCTTGGGGAAGTTTCCGGAAGAAATCAACAGTCAGGTATGAAGATTCCATGTCAACCAATCTAACAACAGTTTTCTTGCTTTCTTCACGAAATCTTTCCAAGGCTTCATTGGCTGCTCCAGCTATTGTTGATTGCAGTGTTGGAAACCGTTTCAATTCCTGTTTCGCCACAGAAACTCAGAAAATAAATATGGCATTTAATTCAATAAAAGAATAGTAACAAAATTGTTAACCAAGTATAACTCACCTGACACTCCCCAATTGACTTCCTGACAAGTTCCTTCAAGACAAAGTGAACCTGAACAAAGTTCAATACGTCAGTTGTGACGTAGCCAGAGCACATAATTCGAAAAGTCATCTTCCCAGTGAAGCATATCAAAACTACTTACAGCATCAACAGAAGCTTCAGCAGGCCCCCTAAAATAATTTAATGATCCCTCAATAAGCCTCCGATATCCTTGCTCAGGAGCAATCAAGTGTGGTTGATAACCATCAGCTTCTGAAACGATTTTTCTCACATTTTGCAAAGAAAGATGCCGATCAAATGGGAGTTTTCTCAAAGCAGCTGGCAGCTGATTGTCAAAAACTCCATAAATTCGATCACCGCCTGGTCGGCTGAAACAATGAACCAGATAATTAACTAGTAATCATATGAGAACCTATGGTATAAGTAGCAGCTAGAAAACAACAAACATCAAAGCACAATCAAGTCAAAATTGGAAAATAACACTTTCTTCCAATCTACAACAGATGATTATTTTGTCTCATAAAAGCTATTGACCAAGTTTAAAAACTTCAGAAATTTCCAATCTACAAAAACATTCCCATTGTAAAGAATAAAAGGTTGGGATTATGGGATCATGAGGCCTATCAGGAAGACACTACTCTACAAAACCACATACTCAAAGAACCTTTTCTCAAAATTATTCAATATAAGGTACAGAAAACAATATGACAGAAAAGAACTTAGTGGATCAAGTAAATTATCACACGTGTCAAAACAGAATAGAAAAAAGGGAACCAAGAAACCGTTCATTGATTGTCAGAAGTACCAGTGCTATCAAAGAGAAGTAAAACATACAGTGCCCAAAAGTTTAAGCACAAAACACACAAAATTGATTAATAATGGGTTCAAATTTCCAAATGCAAAATTTGGGGTTGGCAAGCAAAAAGAATTTTTCATACCCTCCCTCCAAATGCTCCTTAAATATCCGGTCAAAAGCGCGACAAAGTTCCAATATAGTGTATAATTGAGCCTGAAATCCACATGTCAGTTGTCGACAAAATTTGTATTCAATTCAAAAATCACAATGGGGAATTCTAGAAGCTCACCCCTGCATCAACAGCAATAGGCCTTCCAAGGTGATCCATCTCAGATTCAAGTTCATCGATGCTTTTGTTAATCAATGACGTGATACTTGGTATTTTAGCTCTAATTACAGATTCCAAATGCTGAAATATAAAATATTGATCCATGTAAACTCTACTCAATGTAACTTAGCAGGAACATCAATATAAAAATGTGTGTACTACAATATACCCTCGAGAGAAGTTTTGCAAGATACTCTGATCCCATTTTACTGGCCAAGTGCCCATAGTCAGGACTTGTAGAAAAATACTCGCGCTCTTTTCTTCTTGCAATAACCATATCAACATTTTTATTGATATCTGCCTGTGAACGATTCACAATACCCACCCAGGGATGCTGTAAACGGTAAGATCTTCCTTCAAGAACCTATTGAGAACGGGAATTGAAAAGCTTAGTTGAAAGCTTCCGGCATTGAAATGCAAATTGAAAAGGGAAGGGTTAGCTGGACGGGTGTAAAGATGCTGTGAAAGGGGGGAACACAATGATAAAGCATGTGGTGGATAAACTATTTGGGTAAATTGGAAGACAAAATAGTAAAAAGAAAACAAATTCAAAACAACTAAATCATTAGCAATTCAAATCATAGAACTTTATTCACTTTTATCACTATTAATTACACAACATATGATGTCTTAACTTTTCAAGACTATTAACATTCCAACAGAAAATGTTCTTATAACTCTAGCTGGTAGTTTTGTGTGTGTGTGTGTGTGTGTGAGAGAGAGAGAGAGAGAGAGAGAGAGAGAGAGAGAGAGATCACATCCAACGCATTGGTTCCTTTGTCCATCAGATCTAGCTTTGTCAGCACTCCAAACGTGCGCTCACCTGCATAAGTTAAAAAATACAGCTTCATACATATGGAAATCACCAATTGTTGATATGACGATTTTCGCAAACCACAACTCAAATTCATCAAATAGC